TATTGTCCTCTTTGGGCTTTCCCTTTCGGGCTTCCCCTCAAGGTTTTTAAAACGCGTCTATTAGGAAGATGTTTCCACACCTTTATAAAGAATGTTTAGTTCCCCTCTCCAAACAATGTGGGATCTCACAATCCACCCCCCCTCGAGGCCCAGCGTCCTGACACACCGCCTGATGTCCACCCCCTTTGAGACTCAACGTCCTCGCTAGCACATCACCCGATGTCTACCTCTGATAGCATTTGTAATAACTCAAACCCATCACTAGCAAATATTGTTCTCTTTGGGCTTTCCCTTTCAGACTTCCCCTCAAGGTTTTAAAACGCGTCTGCTAAGGAGAGGTTTCCACACCCTTATAAAGAATGTTTAGTTCTCCTCTCCAACCGATGTGGGATCTCACAATCCACCCTTCGGGGCTCAACGTCCTCGCTGACACACCGCCCGATGTTTGGCTTTGATACCATTTGTAACAACCCAAGCCCACTGCTAGCAGATATTGTCTTTTTTGAGATTTCCCTTTCAGACTTCCCCTCAAGGTTTTAAAACACGTCTGCTAAGGAGAGGTTTCCACACCCTTATATAGATGTGGGATCTCACAATCCACCCCCCTTCGGGGCTAGCGTCCTCGTTGACACACCGTCCGGTGTCTGGCTCTGAAACCATTTGTAACAGCCCAAGCCCACCGCTAGCAGATACTGTCCTCTTTAGGTTTTTCCGTGGAATCCCACCATTATTCTCTTGCCCTAGCCATGTTACCCCGAAAGAAAGCAAGGATTTCAAGGTGGTGACCAAAAATATATTTAAGAGAAAAGAAGCCTCACTTGGTAATTGTCCCATCAACATCAGAAATCACAATCTTTGCATTCCACTTCCAAAGATAAATGTGAGCATCGACCTGTTAAAAGAATTTTAGCATCAACATACAAAAATTAAGAAAACGTGTTTATCGTGTACGTATAAATACTGAGTCTAGACTAAAACCTTTTGTGTCCCAAGAACCCTTGTTGAAAAGGTGAAAGCTATCATGTTTTGGCCTTCTTTCAGATTCAAAGATGCTATCTGCTCGGTTGTTGGAACGTTCGTCCTTACAAGCTGCCTCTTAGAAGGCTCGCTGACGCCATTCGGAAACCTTGGACTTTGTTCTGCTTGCAAGTTCTGTAAAGTAGATTCAGAATCAACAAAAATCTCCTCATTTGATGAGTTACTGTCACTGTGTTCAAGCATTTTAACCCTTCTAAACGGAATAGGCCAGAGCCTCCATCTTCGACTGGCGGGAGTGGCCGAGGGAGCGGATTCAACCTCCACAGGAATTGTATCTTTGGGATCCACTTCTAAATCAATTCCGAATGCAGCCATCCCCAATACAATAGGAGCGGCCTTCGCCCACGACATGTACCTATCTCCAAATCTGATGATAAGGTTGTCGTTTTTAATAATCGATGACATAGACTTTTCAAATTCCTCAGCAGACACACGATGTGCATCAAACGCTTCTGCTGCTGCGTGCAACCCCATACCAGCACGAAGTTCATTACCGCAAAGAGAGATCTCGAACCCTGCATTGGATTAGAGTAATTAGAGAATATACAATCTGTGTCAAAATAAGGTAAAAGAATTTGTAATCAAGTTTCAATGAAAACATACTTGTTGAATGAGGTTGAGTTCTTCCACATAAGGCATCCACCGAAGATTCCCCCAAGTGTCGCTCACGGTGCTCGTCATCGACAATAGGCCCTTGTGAACCGCTATCCATCCTTTCAACTCGCTCACTCACGCCAGACTGTGTATTATGCAAAGGGCTATTACGATTAACGGGAACAACACGTTTTTCGTCTGAAGTGGCTTGTTCTTCACCAAATGTGTCTTCCTCAGTGCCCCCAGCTTTAACGTTTAGATTCGGAGTATTGACAATAGAGCTATCTGAAATACTTGAATGTCTCCCGTTTTTATCTACGGAATCGATAACAATTTCCTTGGTTTCAGATACTGATGGAACGATCTTGTTGAGCTTATCTTCTGAACATAGAGACTCCGATGGAGAGATAACGTTTTCAGAATCTGTGTTTCCAACCCGTTTGGCCAATTCTGATAGCTCCAAACAGCTCTTATAAATCTCCCCCTCAATTCTAATGTGCATATCTTCTGAATCACTCATCACAAGAATATCATCTTCCTGAACTTGACATCCCGACGCTTCTTCAGCTTGAGAAACAAGTTTGACCTCCGCTTCAGGCGCCACTAGCTCGTGCACACTACCATTAGACTCATTGCTCAAACGACCGACTTCATCAGCTACGGAGTTATCGGTAGATGTATTCAGATGATTGATATAATCAGCTGCCCAATCATTTTCACTAGTAAATTCATTGTCTTCACAAAACTCTGTCCCTTCACCAGGCCCCAAATGGAACTGAGGTGTACTTAATTGCACGTCTTCTGTATTTTGTTCAGTTGCCGATATCGGAGCAGTCAGTATATGACCATCCACACTCACTAGAATAACCTCCGAATCCGAACTTTGTGGCTCAGCACAACTCTCGTGCTCGAGATTCTCAAATCGATTAGAATCACTCTCCGAAAACTCTACCAAATCCTCCACAGACGACTGCTCCTCCTGAAAATCATAGAATCTATGCTCAACATCAGATTCCGACCTCTCCATACGTGCAACCATGATAGAATTGTTTTCATTTCGTAGCTGAACAACAGTAGTGTCCGAGACACTATGCTCAAGTCGACCTTTTACAAAATTCGTACTATGCTCATCCTTGCTGCCACCATATATCACACCATCCTTAACCAAATCATCTCCAACTCCATCAGCTTGACTTCCTTGACTAGTTTCTACTTCCTTTACGAAATACGCCTCACCAGAGTTATCAAGATACATATGGAAATTGGATTCGACGCCATTGACAGATATTCGAACTATCTTCTCAGTACCCTTTAGAACGCCCTGAAATTTACCAAACCGAACATACCAAGGCGTGCTGCGAAAAGTCCCATCCTGCTGCTGAACAACGATTATATCGACTGCCCCACCGAACGGATGAAACGGTGTGGCAACCGAGTAAACTCCTTGAGAAATAAAACTTCCAACTCTCCCAACGACGTTCATTTGGACAAGCGCTTAATGCCCCTCTCCAATTCACTCAAACTTCACTTCCCTTCGTTTGTTTCCTTTCAACCAAACCTGGCATAATTTATCCCCCAGTTCATGTGAAAATGTATTTCTCAGCTTGAGTTCTTTTCAATCTTAGGTTATAAACACCAATCAAAAAAACTTACTGCAGTAAATTCAAGAAGAACAATAAGAACAACAAGAACAAGAAAACCGTTATAAAGGCAGCAGAAATAGAGTAAATTCAAGCCCTAAATTCTTCATAATGAACCAAAAAGAAAACATCCCAGCCGTCATTTGCAACCTAATCACAAACAGCAGAATGAACCAGACAACTAGAATCCAAAAATCAAATTCCTTTGCATGAACTCCCCATAAAAGAAACCCGACCAAAACAAATTTGGCAAAGAACACAAAAGCTGAAGCAAATCATTCCAGAACAAGAACGCATTAAACATCCAAACAAACCCAATCACGATCACGTGATTTCAAAACAAAGAAAGAAATTAAAAAGATTTGCCGCCAATTTCGGCGGCTAAGAGCTAAAAGAACATACATTCTCCAATGTTTTCTGATTCAATCTCCTGTTGGTAACGAAAAAAATTGGGAATTTGAAGATTGGAGAGGTGGGTCGGAAATTGGGTGTCACCAATTTTCTTTAAAGAACCATTTGGACGACAAAGAAATCAAGAAAGAAAGGAAGGGAAAAGAAAAGCAGAAGCAGAAATCTCCGCCATGGATAACCATAAGCATTACATAGGTAAACGGGGGTGATGCAAATACCAAAATGACCTCATTGAGAAGGAAATTAGCGATCGGATCCAACGGATTTCGTGCATTTGGGAAGAACGAAGAGGGGTGTTTTGGAGATTAAGAAAGGTTGCGTGTCTGATTAATGTTTTTTTTCCTGGCTTCAAAAATTGGTAGAACCAGACCAACGACAACCTCGTGGAAGTCGTGAATTAAATTCATGTCATTTTATGTTTAATTTTTTTTTTTTTTTTAATTAATTGTTCTTTTTCCTTCCACCACTCCCTGCTCTTGGTCCCAACACGTGCCAATTTTCATCTCTTTTCATGATCAAACTTAAACCTTAAAAAACATTTTATACATCAAATTATGTTTAAATTCATTATTTTTCTTTTATATTAATGATATTGCTGCGAGTATTTTGTATAATAAATTTGTATTTAGTTTAATATTTGTCATAATGTTTCAAAAGTAATTATAATTGAAATTCCTATAAATAATTTTTTTATTAGCCTTAATTTTTGTCTATTCCGTTATTTTCTTTTTTATCAGCTTATCGTTTCTCTCTAGTTCTCACTTGTTCCTTTCTTTATGTTAGACGAACACGACTCTCTACAATGGTATGATATTGTCCACGTTGGACTTCCCTAAAAGACTTCATTATCAATTGAGAGAGTATTCCTTGATTATATTCATCATCCAACACTCTCTTCATCTTCTTAGGATAATTATGTTGAGGATTATTGGGAGTGAGTCCCACATTGGTTAATTTAGTGGAAGATTATGGGTTTATAAATGAGAAATACTATCTTCATTGGTATGAGGCATTTTTGAGAAGTCCAAAGAGAGCTTATGCTCGGGACAATATTAAAAGAATTGGGAAAAAAATTTGAAGGTTAGTTTGTGAAAATTTTCCAAATATGAAGGGTATATTTGGAAAGAAAAAAACTTATAATTCACGTATTAGATGGTAACCATTATGGGCCGACAGCCCACGAAAGTATATTTTTTAAAAAATAATTTTAGTTTATAAAAAAGGGTTAAAATAAGCAAATACGACCGTGAAATCCACAGCGGACGGTTCCGTTCCACAAACAAAAAACGGTAATTTCTATAATTAAGAAATAACGCAACAAGGCAGTCCGTGACTTTCCCTTTTTACCGAACATGATTCCACCAAACCCTTCCAAGAAAAACCCACCGTTTCCTCCTACTTTCTTCATCACCACCAACTCATGGCGCCGTCCTACATCCTCTCCGCCGTCGTCGCCGGCATCTCTCTCTCTCTCCTCTTCCTCGCCGCCACCGTCGAAACACTGACGCTCCCCGTCGCTACAAACGCACTCGTTCCATTTCTAACAAACCGACGCCGAACCTACAGAGAAGAATTCCTTGAAGTGCACAACAAATATCGAGCGATGGTTAATCTTCCGCCGTTAACTTGGGACAGGAATCTCACGCGATACGCGCGGCGATGGGGCGCCAAACGCGCCATCGACTGTAAAATTGTCCATTCGTTCGGTCCGTACGGCGAGAATATGTTTTGGGGGAGATTGGACCACTGGACGCCGTCCAAGGTGGTGGACTCGTGGGGCGAAGAGGGCCAACATTATCATATGAACAATAATCAATGTGACGCCGGCCAAATGTGCGGCCATTACACACAGATTATTTGGAAGGAAACGCTCCGATTGGGCTGTGCCAGAATCAGGTGCCTGAACGGTGAGTTTCTTGTTATCTGTGAGTATGATCCGCCGGGAAATTACGTCAGTGAGAAACCGGTTTGATTTTCCCGGCGAAAATTGTCGACCAGCGCAGCTTTGGCCTCGCCGGAATCCTGTTTCGATGTGTTTTATTTTTTGAAGACTGGCTTTCTTTTTTTTTTCTTTTTTTTTTCTTTTTTGGTTCATTGTGTGTTCGTATTCGTTGTGTTTTATGGGAAACGAGGGTTTACAATTAATTGTAAATTTAGTATTAAATTACTCCATCTTATACTTGTAAATTTGTCTTAAATTTTAAAATTCATCGAAATTAAAATTAAAATTTGTACTAATAAATCAATTAATTTTTAATATTTTGAATTTGTTAACATCAATCCGAAAGTGATATTTAAAATTATTGAAAACATAAAATTTAAATTTTAAATGAGTATTCTTCATTTTTTTTAATTTAAAAATAAAATAGACAGACTTTAATTCTTAACAAAATTTTGAATATATTTTTGGTTCACGAATGAGGATGCTAGACCTCCAAAGAGATAACTAGGAAGATGTTTCAAATACCACACATGGGTTACTGGGCATGTCAGTTTAATATAGCCCATTTGATATCTTCGTATCCGAGAATCAACAAATTCGACTCTGCATTGTTCACAAAATTTTGAATCTTCTTTTTTATCTTCGATTTACTTGATAATTTCCACAAGCACAAATCCCGCTTTTTATAGGCCCTAAAATTCTTTCACAAAATAATCCATCTTTTTCAGGTTTATTGGTTTTGTAATGAAAAGTCCAAGTAGATTGTGAGATCTCACATTGGTTAGAGAGAAAACGAAATCAGAGCCAGACACTGGGTGATGGTGGATACGAGGCGGTGTGCCAGCAAGGACGTTGGAGTCCGAATGAGTGTCATGTTGGATTGTTGGATGATAAAAGTCTCAGGTAATTTAGGGAATACTCAATTTATTAGTATGAGACATTTTGAGAAAGTCCAAAGCAAAGCTACAAAAGCTTATACTTAAAGGTGGACAATATCATAAAACATAAGAACTTAGATTGAAAGTGGACAATATCATGCATCTAATGACAAAACTCAAAAAGTGATTTAGATCTCATCCATTTATTTTCGACCGATTTTTGCGCCTTTTGAACCATTTAAAAAAAGCTACCTTCTCTTTTTAACATATTAACAATTTGGATGATAGTATGGTTACAAACGCAATTGACTAGAATTTTCATATTATTTGTTAGTTTGGTTCCTTACCATTCTTCACGTTTGTTGTTCTTCCCATCCACTTTGTCAATCACAAATTTCCAATCGTGATTAACAGCTGTCTTTAAACAAAAATTGAAAGAAAAAACCCAAAATTAGCCTAATTGAATTTACATTTAAACTCCAAAAAACAAATAAAATGAAAAAAAAAAAAAAAAAAACCAGAGGAAATCAGGCGGCGGCAAAGACGGTGGTTTCCAACTGGTAGGCGGCGGTGAAGAAGGAAGGCCAGCAGAGGTAAGTGGACATAATGCTACTGATCGTGGAAGCCCCGATGAGAAAATTCATCACCACAATTTGCAGCTGAATGGCTTCAATCGGCGACGCTCCGCCCATTATCAGTCCGGTCATCGCTCCCGGCAGCGAGATCAGCCCCACCGTCTTCGCGTTGTCGACCACCGGCGACAGCGCTAGCACCAGCGCCCTCTTCACTTGCTGGTGCGTCGCTTGCCGCGGCGTAGCTCCGAGAGCTAATGCAGTCTCCACCTAAATCAAAGTGTTAAGAATATAAATAACGGATTATGAATTAAGTTAATTATTGGATTAATCGTTATTAATTAGAGAGAGAGCGAGAAATTACGAGGCTGAATTGAGTTCTGATATCGTCCCGGAGTCTTTTCATGGCGACGCCGGTGACAGCCATGGAATTTCCGACCATCATTCCGGCGACAGGGATTATGTACCTTGGAGTTAACGGAAACACTTTCAACACCACTAGCATCACCATGGTCACCGAAGTGCCGGCCAAAATTGAAGCTCCGGCTACCAACTTCCCCCGAGGCACGTGCTTCGCACGCTGCCCTGCTGTGTATCCCGCCACCGTCACCTGCGGCGACAAATACGATATCATCTCTAATAGCAGCCTACTGAGGACAGGAACTCTATCTCTGTTTTTTCTTTCTGCATAAAATGAATTTTTCATTTTATAAAGCTAATAAATTTGGTATCCAAAATAATTGAAAATTGAATTTTAGATAAAATTAGAACAAAATTCCAGCCCAAGCCACCGGGATGTACAGCCGTCAAGCTCACGTTTTGACCCAACGTCGGATTTTATAATCTACTCTTTAGGGTCCAACATCCTCGTTGATACACACTTCGGTGTCTGATTCTGAAATCATTAATAACCGCTCAAATCTATGACTAGCCTATTATTCATAGCTTTAACACACTCACAGTTTTAAAATACAGGGCTTTGGTGAAGTTTCCACCTTTTTACCAGAAATATTATGTACTCCTCTAATATCTAGGTGAGATTTTTGTAAATCAAGTCTACTCGAAAGAAGTTTCTACGCTCTTACTCAAAATAATTCATACTCCTCTACAACCCGATGTATAATCTTTTTAAATCGCGTCTGCTAAAGTAAAATTTCTATATCCTTACCAGAAATATAAATATTTAGTACTTCTCTATGGTCGATAGTCGAGATGAAATCTCATAAATCATTTAGACGGACTAAATCCTAAATCCTAAATTTCTGGACATGATAAAGACAACATCTACAATTTAAACCCTAATTTGCGAGGAATTGATTAATTTTTGGAGTTCCAAGACATTCCTATCCGATCCACCGACTGGAAACTAGTAAAGGAAATTTCCAACAAAAATGAGAGAAAATTACCATGAAGAGATAGGCGAGGAGGATCCAAGCGAGGTTTTGCTGGTTGAAGATGAACTGAAGAACAAAGCCAATAACAGAGAGCTGAAGAAAGGCTCTGGAAATGGCGTAGATCATTTCGCCTTCGAGGCCGAGCTTCTGGAAGTAGGAGAGGACGACGGCGACGGCGACAATGGCGGTGGCGAGAAAAGGCTTCGTCATGCCTTGAAGGAAAACCAGAAGCCATTGAAGATCCATGCCAATTCCGAGAAGAAAACAGAGGAAGAAAAGAGAGAGAGAGAGAGATTTTTGTTCTGTTATTGGGAGTGGAGAATATAAGGTATCTGTAAAAAGTGATTGCTAGCGTACCGCCTCCCCCTGGTGTGTTGCCCTTCGTCATTAACTCCTTATCTCAATATATTGCTTTATACACTGATCCCTAATTAAATTGCAATCTAATCCCTACCCTTTCTAAATAATTTATAATTTAGTCCCTATATTTTTAAATATTTTAGGTTGATCCCGGTAACAAAACAACCCATTTTTTATTTGTTTTTCCTTATTTATAATATTTTATATTAATAATTAAAATTTCATAAAATGATTACAAATGCTAAATATTTTTAATCTTCAGAATAATTTTTAAATTGTGGTTAAGTTGATCCGACCAGAAAAATGTCAACCCACGACCGAATCCAAATTTTTAATTTTCTAAAAATTTAACTTAACTTAAAGTGAGAAAAAAAAATCTAACCCAAATCGAATTTTATAATTTGAGTTGGGTAGTTCATTTGATCGACAGATCATATAAACACTTCTAGTTATTTGACTTTATTAACTCGAGCTATCTTACCTCAAATAACTTGCCATGGTTTAAAATATATATATATAGTATTATTTGATTATTTAATTATTTATTTTATCTTAGATGTGAGGTTATATGAAAGGTAAGACTGTTGGTTGATTATTTTAAGAGCAAATACAAAGTGGACATTTATAATTAAGAAATTATGGTCAATCATAAGCTTGTATATTTTTCTTTATGTGTCACGCTAACATTTTCAATTTCATGTGGGTGGAAAGTCTAGGTATTTGTTTAGCACTAACCAATAATATATATATATAAAAAATAACTCATCATTATTAATAATAATGTTATCGTGCTAAGTGTTAATTCAATTGTATTGTACTTCAAGTTGACCTTCACCAGAACCGTTTTTTTCATCGTAGGGTATTAATTATGACAGGATATAATAATAATAATAATATTATTATTAAATTGAACAGCGTACGTACGGCGGTTAAGGAATTAAAAAAAAGGACATTTTTGTCTTGTGAACAAATCTTCCAAATTCAAATTCTTTAAAATAAATAAATAAATATTGAGTTAATTACACCCGTAATTTGAATAACTAATGATGTAAAATAATTATATTTATTATCACGTAAATTTCATAAAATTTAAATATTAAATATTTAGAGGTGAGATTAAATATTATTATTTTTTTTTTTAAATAAGATAGGATTTATAGAAAAAACAAAACTTCGAAAATATTTTCAATAAATTTAATCCAATTTAAGCTTATAAATTGAGTATTCAAAGTTGATCAAATTATTAGACATACAAACACATGCGTGATATATTAACTGAGAAAATGTTACTTTTAAGTTTAAATCGATAAATTATAAGAATAATTTATAGTGAAATTAAGACAATAATATACAAAATGTTATTGAGATTCGATGTTTATGGACCAACCTAAGATTTAGATCTTAAATAAATCCATTATTTTATCAAATCGAGTAGATATTAATTCTTTCTTTTGCATCCTCAACTATTATTTTGGGTTAAATTTGTCAAAATATGTATATATATATATATACATAAATGGGTTTTGAATTACAATAATAAATAAAATTAGTACATATAATTCATTGTACTTTTGGAAAAAGCCTTCCCCATATGAAATTGCAGCTTCACGTCCCTATCTAAATAATAATAATATATTGCAAAAAAGATTTTTATGTTTTCGACCTCACCTATTGGATCTACTTTAAATAATGTCTTTTAATTTTCATAAAATTGCAGTTAAAATCTTGAATGTTACTGTAATTTTCATTTATTTATTTATTTTTTCATTTTACTATTAATTTATTTGCATTAAATTCGAGTTATTATAGTGTTAGAGAAGTAAATCGATCACAATATTTAATTTGAAAATGATTAAAAAATTACAAAAATGAAAGATTTTAAATAGTATAGCTAATAATTTATACTAAAACGATATTGAAATAGATTGAAAATTCATAATTATATTTTATTTATTTTTAGTATTTTTTAAAATATTGGGGGTATTTTTAACATATTAAAAAAATTAAAAATTGATGATTATTTTAATATTTTTTGAAAAAT